ATATTTTTTCTAATGTGCTCAGGGCCTAACTTCTACTACTTTCTCAACCATTTTCCGTGACCACGAGCTTGAGATTCATTATTAAAAGTTAAGTGCCCTTTCTCATTTCAATTACAATTCGCGCACTTTTCTTGGCAGCAAAATCTACCCGCCGGCACCCTGTGTTACAAGCAGAGTGCTTTTTTCCCTCACCCGGGTGTGTTCAAATNAAATCTGAACGATACACTCGGTGGCCATCTGAGTAAGAATAGGAGGAATCTGAACGGTGTTTGGGTGGCTCGGGGCACCTGGGTGGGGAATCTGAACGCACCCTAGGGGGGGCGGAACGCACTGTTTCCACGCATACACTTTCTACGAGAAGCAAGGTTTTAAATAAGAAATACACCTAAAAGCGATTTTAATCGATATAGTTTTTATATTTTTAAAAAATATGTTTTTTATTTCTCGAAGTTGGGATTATGCTCGTTTTGGTTGTCCTATCAAACACTATTTTTGTGCAAAATTTCAGATTGATTGGGAGAAGAAATCATTCTGAAATACACCTAAAATCGATTTCAGTCGATATAGTTATTATTTTTTTAAAAATTTGTTTTTTATTTGCCGAAGTGGAGACTACGCGCGTTTTGTTTGTCCCATCGAACACTATTTTTGTGCAAAATTTCAGATTGATTGGGAGCAGGGGTCATTCGGAAGTATATCCGGAAAAAAACACAAACATATAGATATTTTTAATTTATTAGTTGAAGATATGGAGAAAAGAGGCTTTTTTAAAACGGCTCAAGCTATATATTTTTGTACACTGTTATTATTCATCCTTTTTCAAATAAATTATACACTCTACATTATACACGTTTTTTATTGAAACAAATTATACATGATCTGCAACAAGAAACTCAAGCACATTGGGTGCGTTCAGACAACTCAACAGTTGCACAACGGTTGAGAGATAATCACTTCTGATTGGATCATACTTTTGGAACAAAAGCAGATTTTGAAGAATAGTCCTATCATAAGTGATGATCTTTCAACCGTTGAGTTGTCTGAACGCACCCATTAATTCCAACTATGTTCTAGTTTCCACCGAAGCATTCATTCACACCTAATGCGACGTAGAATCAAATTTAAGTCGATGGAAACCTGTCAAATTGCGCTGATTTCGCTTCCGCTTCGATCTATAAGTACTCTACTTCCAATGGAAACGGAACACTAAATTTAATCCGTACCGGAGTGAAACCGAATTGAGGGTTTCGGTGGAAACTAGACCTATCATTGCTAGGAGGCAATCGACATAAATTATATTCGTATTATTTTTTTTTTTAGTACGTTTGATGTAAACGCACCCGTACTAAGGCCTGTTCTACAATACTGTCGTAAGCTGTAAGTCGTAAGAAATAGAGCAATCACAGATAAATTACAGAAGAATAATCGATTGTGATTGGTCAGTATCTTACGACTTACGGCTTACGACTGTATTGTAGAACAGTCCTAAAGAGCCGTCTACAATGGAGAGTTGTAGGCCGTAATAGTAAGAAATTGACCAATCACAGNCAAAGTACAGAAGAATAATCGATTGTGATTTGTCAGTTTCTTACTGTTACAGTCTAAAACTCTCCATTGTAGACGGCTCTTAATACGCGTATCAAGTTTTGACGATGTAAACTAAAGGGTCGTCTACAATGGAGAGTTTTAGACTGTAACAGTAAGAAACTGACAAATCACAATCGTTTATTCTTCTGTACTTTGCCTGTGATTGGTCAATTTCTTACTATTACGGCCTACAACTCTCCATTGTAGACGGCTCTTAAGCCATTGTGCATGTCGTACTCAAACTCGGGATGCGATCTGCGAATATTTATATCAGTAGTGTAACCGATAATACAAAGTACAGTTATTTGTATCGAGGTAATTTTGTACATACTTTCCGACAAATGCACTACGCAGTACGCAGGTGTATTGGCCGTTTAACGGGTTCGTCGCGCATGGACGCAACATGACACGCGTTACGTTTCTGCATCCCGATCTCGGTATCGGCGGCGCGGAAAGACTGGTCGTGGACGCCGCATTGGCCTTAAAGAAAAACGGTCACGATGTAAACTTCGTGACGACTCATCATGATCCCAAACATTGCTTCGCGGAAACAAAGGACGGCACAATTCCCGTTACCGTTGTAGGCAACTGGTTGCCCAGACACGTTCTCGGCAGATTTTACGCGCTCTGCGCTTACATACGCATGGTAAGTGGAATAGTCAATATTAAAAAACGAATAAAAAAAATTCTTTAAAGTTGTGAATTGTAAAAAAATGAAACGCGTTTCCGTAAGAGAATTGCATGAGATGTTACAATTCAAAGAAGTACGGAATAAAAATAAAAATCTGAGTTGCAAAGAATTATGCAATATAATTGTGTTGTAAAAATTTGAAATTTTCTGTACATTTTTATTTTTAGATATATGCAGCCAGCTATGTAATATTTTCCGGTCAACCGCCAGAAGTTGTGTTCTGTGATTTAGTATCAATCTGCATACCTGTTCTTCGTTTGCGCATTCCATATGTCATATTTTATTGTCATTATCCGGACCAGCTGCTCTCGCAACCTGGAGGTTACATCAAACAGCTGTACCGTCTGCCATTGAATTATCTAGAAGAAATTACAACTGCTATGGCACATAAAGTTTTTGTAAACAGCATTTACACAAGCAGAATGTTTGAAAACACTTTTAAGAGATCGAAAAAAGTCGAACCCGAAGTTTTGTATCCTTCTATCAATACCGAATTTTTCGACAAAACAAGAATAGCATCTATAGAAAGAGTGTTAGATAAAAAACTGCCAAATGACAGTATTATATTGTTGTCGATTAATAGATACGAGCGAAAGAAACAGCTGTCCCTTGCTATCGAAGCTCTCGCGGAATTGGAAAAACTATTGCCAAAAGAAGTATACAAGAATGTGTACTTGATCATGGCCGGTGGATACGACAAGAGAATCGAAGAGAACGTCGAGTATCATTTGGAATTGATTGGACTTGCGGACGAGTTACACGTGACTGATAAAGTGATGTTTCTACGTTCGCCGTCCGATGTAGACAAAATCTCGTTACTTCATCATTGTAAAATTGTGATATATACGCCGCCTAACGAGCATTTCGGAATAGTACCATTAGAGGCGATGTACGCGGGCAAGCCAGTAATTGCGCATAATTCCGGCGGACCAATAGAATCGATAATTTCGGGGAAAACTGGTTTCCTGGTCGATTTATCTGGCGAGGCGTTTGCTTCAAAACTATCTTTTCTAATTACAAATTCGAGTTGTATCGAAGAGTTCGGCAAAGCAGGTAAAGACTTTTTTATCCTAAAAACATTCAGTTTTGCTGCATTTAGTACTCAATTAAATAAAGCAATAGATGACTTAATTAATAAAAAAAAAAATTAATATAATGAAACTTATATATATAGTCAAATATATGTTCTTAATTCATTTTATAATACATATATACATATATACATATCAGATATATTTTGATATATCAGATTAGTATAATGCAATAGTTAAACTTACACACACACGCGCGCGCACGCAAACACATATACAGGATGTCCGACAAGTACTTTAAAATCTCTCGTAGGCAGGTAGAAGGAGGAAAACTGAGTCAAAAAGTTCTGAACCATTTTTCCTATTACATATAATAAAGGAGTAATTATTGAATAAATCAAGCCAATCAGCTCCGACGCTTAGCCGGGCGCACGTCAGTGAGTCGCGCGGAGCGCTCACGCACACCAGGCGCGTGGTTTACTGACATGCGTTCGGCTAAAAGTCGACGCTGATTGGCTTGATTTATTTAATAATTACTCCTTTATTATATGTAATAGAAAAAAATGTGTTCATGACTTTTCAGTTTTACTCCTTCTACCTGCCTACGAGAGATTTTAAAGTAATTGTCGGACAACCTGTATATATACATGTATGTATATGTATATATATGTATATATATGTATATATATGTATTCAGGGTGTCCGGAAAATCGCTGCCAACACTTCGGGAAGTGATTAGAAATCCAAAAAGAAGGAAAAAAAGGTTATACAAACATAGGTCCGGAAATAAGTCGTTTCCGAGTTATAGCCACTTTTATGTTTAAAAGTCTAATTAATTTTTCATAATCATAATTTATTTTATTGTGTTTCAACATAAGTAACTTCATTTTGGACTATTTTGATAGAAGAATAAGGAGCTGCACTTGTGCTGAAGGTGGTCATGTTGAACATAAACAGATATTTAAATCAAATTAGATACGGTGTTCAAAATGACCACCTTCAACACGAATGCAGATCCTTATTCTTCTATTAAAATAGTCCGAAATGAAGATTATTTATATTAAAACACAAAATAAATTATGATTATGAAAAAAATTACAATTTTTAAACATAAAAGTGGCTATAACTCGAAAACGACTTATTTCCGGACCTACATTTATAACGTTTTTTCTTCTTTTGGAATCCTTAATCACTTCCCAAAGTATTGGCAGCGATTTTCCGGACACCCTGTATATATATATGACGATAAATAAAAGTAATGTACTTTTAATGTTCTTGAGAATCGTTTAAAGTCGTATTATTTTATAATATAAAAAATTTTCTATGCAGTAAAATTATAAAATACATTTCTATGTTGTTGGAATTACAAAACAGATATGGCGTCAAATTCTTAAAAACAATAAATAAAACATTCATTAAAATTAAAATCTGAAATTCTTACATATGTGTGCAGAAAATTAGTCCATCAATTGTAAATTATCAAGTTTTTCACTAGAATAGAATCCTGCTTTGACTTGTCTGCCAGCAAAAAATCGTCCATTTAAATCAACTACAGCTTTAATGGCGCTCTCTATTCTTTTAAATTCCACAAAAATTCGCACTGCTTCTTCCGGAGTGGCTTCGATTACTTCGTGAATAATTACACGCGCGACATCACCGTATTTTGTATTGCATTCATCTTTCACTTCTGGTTCAAGATCATCATCTACTTCTCCGGGACCAACCATGTTGCGCAAGAGTACAACCTATAACAAGATAAACAATTAAAAAACTTTAATGTCTATTTCTAACATTTCGCATACACAGATATTTAAAAAATAATAAACGTAACGCTATTATAAGACAAAATTACAAGATACATTTTATTATAGTGTTGTGTATTATATAAATTTCTATTTATATTTATTGACCTTGCTTGGACACTTCATTATCTCGGTAATGCTCGGTTCTTCCGAAGATGGTTGTGATTGCAGCGGTGCTTGTGATTGCGCCGGTGGAGAAGTTGTAATAGGCGGTGGTGGAGGCATCAACTGTTCTCTTTCACCAACTATTCTTCCACCGCGTTTGCTCGTCTTCTCTACTTGTAACGCCACCGACATACCTTGCTCCTTCTTACCTAGACCTTGTCCCTCTTTGAAACCATATTTGGCCATTATTTTTGCCGCTACAGACGATGTCGCATAACCCATGGTGGACTGTTGTCGTGGAGGAGGAGGTGGTAATTCTGAAGACTCTTGCAGAGATGGTGGTGGTGCTATTGCAGCACCACCAGCCACACCTCTTGAGGATGGTGTTCTCTCCTCATCTCTTTCGGGAGGTATCATTGTGCTATTATTACCAGCTGTTTGCTGTGTCCATAAATATTTTAATGTTATTGTAATATTCAACACACATTATAAAACACATATCTATACCATAAAGCTACTATTTAAAATGTATACAATATTAATCAAGAGGTTTGCACCATTTTTCTTATATTTTTTTATAATTACCTGAGTGTCTTCGAACCGTGTGTTATCTCTTCTACGTTTGCGCATTTCTGTCTCCTGATCATGCTCTCTATCTCTGATATCACGTAATTCTTTCACAACTTTTTCATACTCATTTGGCCACATGGGATCATATTCATTCACCACGTTCCAATCATATTCACTACCTATCCCAATACTACTCACACCGCCAGTAGATAAAGGATTATTATGGTTATCATCTTCTCGATCGACATCACGGTTGGCCTTTGATTTCAAGTCAATCACTGGTGCTAATACCGCAGTGTTTTTTCTATATTGCTCTCGTTTTGGCTAAAATTGTTAAAAAATGAAGTAAACTTATTTGCTATAAAAGAAAGATAAAAAAAGAAACTACAAATTGTGTGTAGAATTTTTATACGTAATTATTAGTCAATGATCATGTCTTGTTTACAAGATATTAACCTGTGTCGTGGCAGCCTTCTTTAATTGTAGTTGTGATTGAAGTAACTTTATACCAGAAGACCATCCTGCAACCTTTTCTGAAGTTCGGTGTTTGTCAAAATCATCGTACAAAGACATTTCTAATGAATTCTATTTTAGCATTTAATTAATAATATTTTAAAGCTCACACTTTTAAGCTTTGATTTTAGGTTAGGTTAGGGTTAAGGTTAGATTAGGATTAGGTTAGGTTAGGTTAGTTACTTAGACCATATATACTTATAGACACGGCTTCAGACAACTATCTTGAAGCAAAGATAATATCATCTACATGACGTCACATATGGGCAAAGCAAAGGCGCGTTTATTGACGGCTTCAGATAACCGCCTTGAAAATAAGATAATATCATCTACGAGGCCGCGTTTAGCCATTGCTGAAATGCCCACATGTGACGTCACGTAGATGATATTATCTTTGCTTCACCTCGACTCGTGGATTCATATCTACAGGCCGTGTCTATAAGTATATATGGTCTAAAGTTAGTTACATATGTATTAAGGGCCTTCTACAATAAAGAGCCGGTCCTTAAAGAGCCGTCTACAATGGAGAGTTGTAGGCCGTAACAGTAAGAAATTGACAAGTCACAATCGATTATTCTTCTGTACTTTGCCTGTGATTGATCAATTTCTTACTATTACGGCCTACAACTCTCCATTGTAGACGGCTCTTAAGACGTCGTCTACAATACAGTTGTAAGCCGTAAGCCGTAAGAAATTGACCAATCACAGACAAATCACGGAAGAATAATCGATTGTGATAGGTCAATTTCTTATGGCTTACGGCTTACGACTGTATTGTAGACAACGCCTAAAGAGCCGTCTACAATGGAGAGTTGTAAGCCGTAACAGTAAGAAATTGACAAATCACAATCGATTATTCTTCTGTACTTTGTCTGTGATTGGTCAATTTCTTACTATTACGGCCTACAACTCTCCATTGTAGACGGCTCTTAACACAGTGTCCATTATGCGTCGTCTACAATNAGAATTTAAGCCGTAAGACTTAAGCTTTAAGAAGGTACAAGGTCCGTTTCCACCATCTACGATTAACTTAATCGGTCGATTATTTTGTTGGAATCGCCAATCATATTGGTTGATTGACTAAATTGACCAATCGCAATTGACTCGCAATCGATCGGTAAGTTAATCGTAGATAGTGGAAACGAGCCTTGTACCTTCTTAAAGCTTAAGTCTTACGGCTTAAATTCTCATTGTAGACGACGCATTAGTGTGAGAAAGAGCATATCAGTGTGTCTCAAGCTGCGTTCGAAAACATCACTAGTGTATATTTTATCTTTATTACTCATTATATATAAAACAAAGATAGAATGACGCTCGTGTGTACACGAGTGCTGTTTCCGAACGTGACGTCACTGATATGCTCTTTCTTACGTCACGTTCGGAAACAACACTCGCGTACACACGAGCGTCATTCTATCTTTGTTTTATATATAATGAGCAACAAAGATAAAATATACACGAGTGATGTTTCCGAACGCAGCCTTAGTTGGAAAGCACCCAGTGTTGTTGCAAAGTCGCGATTACGCGTATGCGCACTGTACAGCCAATTAGGTTCCCATAAAAGCTGTGTTTTCGCGCATGCGCCTTTAAATGTAGCATTACTGCCGTACTAACTCCGACATTATTAAGGTTCTGTAAAGACCCAAATAATTTTTCATGATTAACACGTGAAGTGTGTTTTAATACTATTTGTTTAGTTTTTTAATAACATTTAAATAAAAAACTATTAAGAAGATAGGATTTAAAGACAATAGAAATAAATAAAGATAGAAATAACGTTTAATTTAATATTTTATTTGGCAGAAATCACGAATACTAACATTTATTGCAAAGATAAGGGAAACTGACAAAAACCTTACCACTATTCAAAAAAATAAAAATACATTTTTTTATTTTAACAAAACTGAATATTTAAGTATAGGAATAATATATAACAGAATATAAAGAATATAATACAATACAAAATATAGTAAGTTATAAGAAATTATTATAAATAGCTACAAAGAATATTTACGATTATATACATAAACAATTACATTATATTATATTAGTATATTAAGGTATATATATAAATCACAAAATCTCTTCTTTTCGAGGCACGTATCTAAAACAAATAAACTCAGCAACAAAAATAATTAGTAATGTCATTATAATTATAGTTATTATAATTATCCTACGCTCTTTAACCTTCTCAGTTCCTACTGCGAGATTCCGCTAAAACTGTACATGTTGGTGCCCCTTATTTACGTGCATATATATCAACCCTGGCTAGTACAGTGCCGACCTGAAGCTCAATGGTCTAGTTTCCACCGAAACCCTCAATTCGATTTCACTCCGGTACGGATTAAATTTAGTGTTCCGTTTCCATTGGAAGTAGAGTACTTATAGATCGAAGCGGAAGCAAAATCAGCTCAATTTGACAGGTTTCCATCGACTTAAATTTGATTCTACGTTGCATTAGGTGTGAATGAATGCTTCGGTGGAAACTAGATCAATGTTACGGTGCAGACAATATAGTAGCCTCTCTCTCCAGCTGCTTTGTGCGCATGCCACAGATGTCTATACTACTACTAGATCCTTAGACCATATATACTTATAGACACGGCTTCAGACAACTATCTTGAAGCAAAGATAATATCATCTACATGACGTCACATGTGGGCAAAGCAAAGGCGCGTTTATTGACGGCTTCAGATAACCGCCTTGAAAATAAGATAATATCATCTACGAGGCCGCGTTTAGCCATTGCTGAAATGCCCACATGTGACGTCACGTAGATGATATTATCTTTGCTTCACCTCGACTCGTGGATTCATATCTACAGGCCGTGTCTATAAGTATATATGGTCTAAGACTAGATCGCTAACTTGAGACTGTGGGATATGGAAAAACTGAGGCTGGCAGGATATCCGGTTTCGGCCATGACAACTTACAACAAAATGGCAGCGGTGCGTGTATGATCAGTACGCGAATGTGCTACTCGGGCCTTGTTAAAGTAAAAAAGTAACATCGTAAACATCACTGTGTAAACATGCCGAGCTGTTGTTGCATTCCACAGTGTAAAAATATCACAAAAGATGGATTTCATTTATTTCGGTAAGGAGGAAATATTTATTTATACTTCGAAGTTACAATATTTTAAGGTTATGTAAGTAAACAATATAAATATTGTAGATTTCCATTAAATCGCCCGAATATTTTACAACTGTAGATTGCAGCAATTGGAAGAGACGATTTTAAACCTACAAAATACAGCCCAGACGGCACATGATATTATTTGATTGTAGAATGATATCGTTCTACGTCATTTTTGTGATATCATGTGATATCACATCCCTGAAATATCACACAGATATTCTTCTAAGAATATTAGTACTGTTTTCTTTTAAGTATATCTCAAAGACATCGCTTAATGTATAGGAAATTTGAATGCAGTGTATTACACTCCCGTGATATTCTTATGATATTTTTGAAATATTTATTGATGATATCACAACTCTTCGCACAATATACTACTATGATCAAAAAATAACCGGAATTTTTAATTTAAACCTCGCGGGCTTATCGGTTTAGAATTCTGTTGTTTGTGTCACGTTGGCAGCACTGTTACGGACACCTATGCCAAGCTTCTGCTTATCAGCTGTTCATTTACCTTTATGACAGTGATTTCTTTAC